GGTCATCTAATTTAAGTAGTCCGCCCAAAGGTTCTACACTATATGCCATACCTATAATCTAACTCGGAGATTACCTATTTAAACCCTCTGACTTCCCGGTTCTGTACCATCACTACAATCACACCAATCCATAACCTCGTGCTGCTTCTTATTAAAGGCCACCCAGATCGACATCTGCTATATTACTTGTACCCTAATTCTATAGATAAGCCAGTAAGGTTCTCATACTATCGGGTTGCCCTAGGGAGGGTGTAGTACATACTCTCCTAATCTTTCTATGTCCCACGCATTTCCAGATTAGACTACGAATACCTTCCACAGTAGCCGAAACCACCAATAGCAGTCAGGGCGAACCATTAAACCGTACAATTCCAGTATCTGGTGCCCTTGCAAGGTTCATTCTGATCCCAATACTCACATCAAGCCAGTCTTTATATCGATCCCTCCCCAATTACCAAACCAGTTAGCTCAGACGGGTCGTTATACCTCGGCTTTAAGTGCCTTCTGGTTTTACTTCCCTTGGTTTCTAATTCCGTAACATAGGACCTTTTCCTCCAGTGTGACTCTGGCGGCTAGGTTGGTGGATCCTTCTTGCCCCAGGGTTTTCGTCCGGTTCTTCGGTCTCTGGTTTTTGACTTTTCTGCAGTATCGTCAAAGATCTTCACTATCTCCTTACTCGGGTCTTGCCAAACGGGTTTCAATTATTCCGGTTCCTTGGATTTGGATCGTCCAAGAGCTTCCATTATGAGATGGTAGTACCAAGATTACAGGTAATATACCCAACCGATCATCAAATAATTGTTACCAGAACACAGGCCTATTTTTCTAAAAACGTCTTCGGTAGGATTCGAACTCTAAACCTGCCACTTGGGGGTGACAACTTAACCACTACTCTAAGTCGCTACACCCAATTTTTATTAAATTTATTTACTTTTTATTATAAAAATCTTTAAAACAATTAGAACTTACTTAAAGCAAAAAAAAAGATTTATTATATTTAATATACAAAATTGCATTGAAAAATTGCATTATTATTATTATTATTTTATCTTTATCATTATTTTTAATTAAATAATAGTATTACAAATATAATTCATTTTGTTTCTTTTATTTTGCTAAATGACTCTCTAATAAAAATAGCTTATAAGTAGATTAAAATTAAAGTGTTTAATATTATTAATAGCTTTTTACTTATTTAAATTTAAAAAAATAAATTTTAAATGTTTATTAAATCTTATTGTTATCATCTACAGTAAAAATATATCAACTTAAGTATTATAGTGATGTATGCGTACATTGTGATACAAGCAATAGGGAGTTATTATTAATAAATTTTGAAGGTAATATAAAAAAATTTTTAGGAATCAGAAATTCAAGACAAATTTGTTCTAAATATAGTTTAAAGGATAGTCTTCAATAATAAAATCTACAAGGTTTTTTAATACAGCAATCAATATATATGTTTAAAATATTGTATTTATTAAATTTTATATCTTTAAAAAAATTACTTAATTTGTTGAGGTTGCAAAGGTCACTTTCAATTTGAAAAATCAAAAAACTACTTACTAAATCAAGATTTTAATCATGATAAATTAACAATATCATATGATTTTTGAAACTTTTTTGGGTGTTGATTTTACCTGATCAATTTTAGTAGACCTTTTAAACTACTCAACTATAGGTTGATCTGTAGATTCATATGTAATATAAATTAATTATTTGAATAACTTATTTATATAATTTAAAGTACTTTTTAGAAATATAATATTTTATTAATTTTAGTTATATTAATCATATATAATTCTAAATGCTGGATTAAGATGTTCATATAAAATTTAACTTATACATATCATTTGATATGCTATTATATTATATTTTATATTATCTGAATATTAGAATTAAAATATTAGTAACTTTAGATTTAGTAGTAAGTCGATAATATATATGAATATATAGGTATTATCATTTTATTAATTGTCAGAGATGATGCTAAAATCAGATGATACTAAAATTAGATAATGCTAAAATTTATATGATCACATGATGATCTTCTGTATAAACATCTAGCATTATTATCATCATTGGTATTAGAGTTAGAGTTAGAGTATAGAAGGTTTTTTGATTTGATTTTATATATATTATATTTAATTCTACTAGAGTAATTAAAATATGGTCATATCCAAACCCTAACTCTAATATCAACAACGAAATTTTTTAGTTAGTGATGCTAGGGTTCTATAAGCACTTTAGGTTTATTTATATAAAAGATCATTATGTAATTATATAAATTTTAGCATCATCTTCAATATTAATTATATAGTAAAGTTCATATTATATCTCTAATAAAGGTTATAATAATAAAGATAAGATTGAATTACTTTAATTATTTTTTAAAATATAACAATAATAAATATAATAAATATAATTTTGTTAATAATTTATTTGCATATTAAATTTTTTGATCAATTTGATAAATATCAATTTACTATGTATATACGTACTAATGTTTTGACCTGGGTAGGTTGAATTTATTTATTTATACTGGTAATATAACTCAAAAAAGGAAGTCGTCTAAAGCCAGGTGCATTCACATAACTTATAACCAATCAAGGTATAAATTTTGATTTATCTGGATCAGCCCGATGAGACAAAAACAAAGAAAAAAAAATAAAAAATGCGAGAAATACAAGAAACAAGTATCTAAACCTGCTTCAGGACACTAATAAAAAAACAGAAACAGCATGCAGTCCAGATTTTCCAGAACACGTGATGCAGATCATTGCATATCACGTAATTGTCACATGCAGATCATGATTATATCACATGTAACATCTATTCAGTACTTTACATGTTTATTCGTTACTTTACTAGCATATTGTGCTTTGAATAAATATTCTTTTGACTTCCTAAATTTATCCAAGAAATCACAATTACTATAGGTATTATAAATTTTGACAAATTATTATACCGTTTAATTTAATTTATATATGAAGATAATTAATTAATTTATGTATAAAATTGAAAAGTATAATATAGTATATATTCATTTATTCGCATTATAGACTAAATGTTCAAAATTTAAATTTTTATTCAAACTAAAATTTGAACGCAGATAGATATTTCTGCTAACTACCTAAAATATACAACAAATAATCAGATAATTTGGATAATTTTATAATATTCAGGCAGAGATTTCTTAACAGCTTCAATCTATAATTCAACATTCAACTGAATACAATTAAACGCATATGCATATAGTATTCTATTATTATAAGCTATCATGCTTTTTTTCTTGCTAAATAACTTCACTATAATAAGGGCCACTTGTAATCAGGGGTACCAAAAAATTAAATAAACTGCAATTGCAAATAATTGCAATTTTCTATAATATAAGGTCTTCGACTTTAAAGATCATTAAAAAAAGAAATAATTTTAGCTTGTTTTTTTTATTTAATGTATATTATTTTTTTTAACTTACAATTTCTGAAGGCAAAGTTCAACAAATATATCTTTATTATTTCAAGTTATCACTGCAACAAAAAATTAAAATTAATTAGTAATTGTTGCTGCCTATGTATCAATTCTTGCAATTAATTGCCATCATAATCAATTATTCATCTATTTGTAATTATGAAAATGCTAATTTTATTATTTTATTAGCTAAACACATTTTAAATATGGGCTATGGCTTCCATAGAACAATTAAATTGGCAGATCTAATAACGATCCAAAGCTTTTTTTATTGTTTGATTGGCCAAGTAGTTACATGCAAGGGCATAGTAACTCCTGTAATAAATCTGTAATATGGCCAAGTAGTTACATACAAGGGTGTAGTGACTCCTGTAATAAATACTGTAATATGGCCAAGTAGTTATATGCAAAGTCATAGTGACTCCTGTAATAAATACTGTAATATGGCCAAGTAGTTACATGCAAGAGCATAGTAACTTCTGTAATAAATACTGTAATATGTACATATGTGACCATATTTCATATATATTTTGTATATTTGTTATATATTTTTATGTACTCGCATTTTAAATAATTATTAACATGGATTTGATTTCTCTAAACCACACAATTTGTTACCGTAGAGTTAATAAAATTTTCACGCACTAGTTTTATTCTAAAATTCAACATTCTAAAAAACACATTAAATTATTATATATAGATTTGATCCATTTAATCTGTAGAGTTAATAGAAGTTTATATGTAACTTTAATTATCCTAAAATTCAACATAGATCTACAAATCTAAAAAGTGCATTAAATAATTAATGTATGAATTTGATTCCTCTAATCTATACAGTCTGTCTTCGTGGAATTAATAGAAATTTTTACGTAACTTTAATTATTCTAAAATTCAACATGGATCTATAAAATCTAAAAAGTGAATTAAATGAGTGCTACAAATGGAAAACCTGCAAATCTTATCTATTAAGATTTGCAAGCTTTCCATTTGCAGTGATCAAATATAACCTTCAAAAGAAATTAAACTGTTAATAAAATATACTAACAATAAATATAATTTCAAATCATAAAAATAATTTTGAAAACTTGGCTTATGTGATTTTTGCTTAGAAACTTCTGCTTGTAATAATAATAATAATATTTACTAAATATCTTCAAGAAATTTGTATCAGGAAATTTGGATATAAATATCTCTTAGTTTGCCTATTGCTCACTCTTTAGTTTTGTTGTTGCTTCGCTATTAGTTTACTTCTATTATTTTACTATTGCTCTTCAAAAATTGTTCATCTAATTTCTATTAAAAATAGATAAATACACTTCCTGCAGTTGTTATTATTCACCAGAATCTTTCAAATATAAAGGAAAAACTTACAAAACTTGTGCAAATTGCCTTACCTCTAAAGCTGAAAAGTGAAGAAAATTAGAAAATGATAATACTCAAACTACTATTGAGACAATTTTGGCATAATCCCTTTGTGATTATATAGCAAGCCTAATCTCCAATATTGAAAATAATGGCAAAATTTCTTTTGAAATATGTGTTGACCTTACTGATGATATTTTTTCAGAAGTAGAGTCCAATAATCTTAAGTCAATAGCCAAAATAATTGTAAACAAAGTTGAAGAAGGAGATGATTATGTCTGGTCAACTGAAACGGCATCACGTATTTCAGCTCGATTTAATAATATTGCCATCTATTACTTTGTATGCTCACAATGCAATGAATTAGAACGTGAATATAAGCAATCAAATCAAAAACGTATTACTCGATTTGAATGTTATGGTAAATTGAACCTTCATATCGATGTTCCTGCAATAGAAGCAATATTAAAACTTCGTCATGATGTCCTATATGAAAAACCTGAAAATGTCTCAATGCCAGAAAAAATTAAACAAGAAATTCATATAAACCTCCATTTAGATCCAATACAAATTTGTACAATCCTCCAGAATAAATTTAAAATTTTAAATGTTACAGCAAAGCAGATTTATTATTGATGGTCAGTATTTGCG